GCCACTTACACTCCTGCTTTTCAGCAACACTATCAGCAGAACAGAGATAGGCAACTGTGGCAAGGATATGTAAGAACTTATGAACAGGATATGCAGTGCCAGTTCATGAAGTCTCTAACAAAAGGACCTAAAATGGATTTCCCTAGGTTTGAGGGTGAGTACCCAGTGGGTTGGATCAGGCAGTGCAATAAATACTTCCAGATGTCAGGTGCACCAGAAGAATATAAAGTTTCTTTGGCACAATTATACATCATGGGTGAAGCAGATATCTGGCTCAGAAGATCTGGACTCCTTAAGAAGAAAGTGACATGGAAAGAGTTTTGCACAGAAATTATTAAGAGATTCTCTACTCAAGGATCATATGACTTAACTGAAAAGTTCAATTCAGTTAAACAGTCCAATAGTACTATGTCAGAATATACAAAAGTTTTTGAGGATCTCATGGCTGATGTCCAAGAGGAAAACCCTGAGTTAGGAGAGTCTTGGTTTGTCAGGTGCTATGTCAATGGCTTGAGAGAGGGAATAGAGTTCCAAATCAGGCCATTGAGTCCACAAACTCTGACTGATGCATATTGGTTAGCTAAAGATGTAGAACCTTGTCACCCCCCTGTAGTAGCAAGTACAAAAAGGACTTCTGTTCCTTATAACAACTACTATCAGAAGAGCAATGGAGGGTTTATCCAAAAACAGAATGTTGCTCCTCCTGCCCAGCAACAACTTCCTGTTAGACACACTGAAATGCCTGCCAACAGTGCACAGAAAATCAGGAAAGTGGGGGAATGCTTGAGGTGTGGAGATAAATGTGTACATGGTCAGAAGTGTAAGTTAGTCCCGAACATTCAGGCTATGCAACAAGAGTTGGAAGAACAAGTCACTTATGATGTGGAGGAACAACAATTAGAAGAACAAGCAGAGCAAATCACTGAAGGAGATCAGGCTATGTTCATTTCTGCCTTTGCTATGGGGCAACAATTAGCAGTTCCAACTCCTACAATAATCATTCATATCAATGGAAAAAGGGCTGTAGCACTATTAGATTCTGGAAGCACCACCTCCTTCATTAATCAGGACTTTGTAGTTAAGGCAAACTGCAGTATGTTGCCTGTCAAACCTAGAAAAATTGTAGTGGCTGGAGGAGGAATATTAACATCTACGTCAGTCATCCCTAATTGTCAGTTTCAGATATCCAAAATGACACTCACTCACAGTTTCAGAACACTGTCACTACCAAGTCATGATGCAATTTTGGGCTATGACTGGTTCACTGCTGTGAGCCCTGTTTCATTTGATATTCCAGCACAGCAGTTCAGTTTTACACATGGAGGCAAGCAGACCGTGTCCACTACAATGTTTATTACTTCAGCTAGTGTGAAAGAAGTACCTGCTAAGAAATTGGATAAGTTCTTGGATAAAGGGCCTGAAGTATTCTTGTGTCAAATCAACAATATACTCATGGACGCACCAAAGGATTTTCAAACTCATCCACAAATACAGAAATTATTGTTGCAGTATGCTGATCTGTTTGAAGAACATAAATCCTTGCCACCTCATAGAGCTTTGGATCACAAAATTCCTATGGTGGATGGAGCATCTCCTCCACAAGTCAGACCTTATAGGGTGCCTCAAAATCAAAAGAAAGAGATGGAAGAGCAGATAAAAAAGCTGCTAGCTGCACATCTCATCAGACACAGCCAAAGTCCTTTTGCTGCACCTGTGTTGTTAGTTTAAAAGAAGGATAGCACTATGAGATTGTGTACTGACTACAGAAAGCTGAATGCTCTTACAATCAAAAACAAATTTCCTATACCTATTATAGAAGACCTTTTTGATGAACTACATGGAGCAAAATATTTCACAAAATTGGATTTAAGGTCAGGCTATCACCAAATTAGAATGTCACCTGAAGACATCCATAAAACTGCATTCAGAACATTTTTAGGTCATTTTGAGTTTCGGGTTATGCCTTTTGGACTGTCTAATGCACCTGGCACCTTCCAGGAGTTAATGAACACCATATTTGGCCCCTACCTAAGGAAGTTTGTGCTGGTTTTCTTTGATGATATATTGATTTTCAGTAGAAACCTCACAGAGCACTTGGAACATATCAAGTTGGTCCTGGATCTATTAAGAGAACATCAGCTGTTTGCCAAAATGTCAAAGTGTGTCTTTGCAGCTCAGAAAGTTGAATATCTGGGACATGTTATTTCTGCTGATGGGGTAGCTACTGATCCACAAAAGATATCTGCCATAGCTGAGTGGCCAGTCCCTGAGAATATAACTAAACTCAGAAGTTTCTTGGGTCTGGCAGGTTATTATAGAAGGTTTATTAAGGGCTATGGTGTAATATGCAGACCTCTGCATGATCTGCTCAAAAAAGGGAACTTCCAATGGTCACCTGAACATACCAAAGCCTTCCAACAGTTGAAACAAGCATTAACTTCTGCTCCTGTGTTGGCACTGCCAGATTTTTCCAAGCCATTCATATTGGAAATTGATGCATCAGGAAAGGGAATTGGAGTTGTATTAATGCAGCAAGGCAGACCCATTTCCTTCTACAGTTCATCCTTGTGTCCCAGAAATGCAGCCATGTCTACATATGAAAAGGAGGCCCTAGCAATTTTAGAAGCACTAAAAAGATGGAGACATTATTTGCTAGGGAAGGAGTTGATCATTAAAACAGATCAACAATCTCTAAAGTTCATTACTGATCAAAGAATCACTGAAGGAGTCCAACACAAACTAATGATGAAGTTGCTGGAATTTAATTTTACTATTCAGTACAAAAAGGGCATTCAAAACAAAGTGGCTGATGCTCTTTCAAGAATTCTTCCTAAATGCATGACTATTTCTGCAGCAACTCCTGCTTGGGCAGAGGAAATAGTGAGCAGTTATCAGCAAGATCCTAATAGTTTGCAATTGTTGGAGAAACTGCTGTTAAGCAAGGATAATTCATTGCCAGACTATTCCTTAGCATGTGGCATAATCAGATACAAAGGGAAGATTTATGTAGGTAACACACCTGCATTAAAAGATAAACTACTTGTTGCACTGCATAGTTCTCCTATAGGGGGCCACTTTGGAAGAAGAGCAACATATCATATGATCAAAAGCATCTTTTATTGGCCTGGTATGAAAACAGTTGTAGAGGCTTTCATTGCTGCTTGCCCCATATGCCAAAGAGCAAAACATGAAACTTGTTTGCAGCCTGGTTTACTTGAACCTCTGCCTGTGGCTGATATGGCCTGGCAGCATATCTCCCTGGACTTCATTGAAGGACTGCCTAAATCTCAAGGAAAAGATGTGATATTGGTGGTTGTGGATAGATTTACTAAGTATTCCCACTTCATACCTCTCTCTCATCCTTATTCAGTGCTCAGTGTAGCCCAGGCCTTTGTGGATAACATAATTAAATTGCATGGACCACCAAAACTGATCATCTCTGACAGAGATAGAATATTCATCAGTCAGCTCTGGAAGAATATCTTCTCAGCACTTAAAGTGGAATTGAGGTTTAGTACTGCATATCACCCACAAACAGACGGCCAAACTAAACGTGTAAACCAGTGTTTGGAGACTTATTTGAGATGTATGACTACATCTGCTCCCACCAAGTGGTTATCTTGGCTCTCATTAGCAAAATTTTGGTATAATTCAACATACCATACAACCATTAAGATGCCCCCATTTCAAGCTCTTTATGGATTTCCCCCACCCCTCATTTTAGAGCTAGCAATCCCAGGGCCTGATGATGAAGAGGCACAAGATTTCTTAACTGCCAAGGAGCAAATTTTGCAGCAACTTAAGGATAATTTGGTGCTGGCACAAAACAGGATGAAGAAATATGCTGATACCAAGAGAGTGGAAAGAAGCTTTCAAGTGGGAGATCCGGTTTACTTAAAAATGGCACCTTATAGACTTGCTGCTTTTGGGTTCAGAGGAGCACTGAAACTCCAAAACAGATATTATGGTCCATTCTTGGTCCTTCAGAAAGTGGGCAAAGCTGCATACAAATTGCAACTACCAAGAGATGTGCAAATCCATCCGGTGTTTCATGTGAGCCAGCTGAAGAAACACATTGGGGAGAAGTCTATTCCTGACCCAAACCTACCTCTGGTCAATGCAGATGGGACAATCAAAACAGGTCCAGAAGAAGTATTGGAGGTGTGCCAAGTTCCACGACAGAATCTACCAGTGGTACAATGGCTCATAAGGTGGATAAACCTGCCCCCTGAAGAAGCAACATGGGAAGATGCTGACTTCATCAAATACACATTTCCTGAGTTTTTCAGTACCACTACTCGCGCGTGGAGGGAAGCAGCAGCAATGCCGTGAGGACACGTCGACACTCAAGAAGGGAGCAATGTCAGGACTACAGAGCAGGGCGTTACTTCTTCAGTTAGCTGTAGCTGGTTGTGAGAGTTAACGATTCAGTAGATGAACGGTAGAGATCGCGCCTCACGTTACCGCTTTGTCGTAGGCCGTTGGATTGCCACTGTACCATTTCATTCGTTACTGTTACTTTTCACCCGTTGTCGGGACCGCTTTCCACCTATGAAGGCAGCTGGGTTGTGGCTGGCCAAGACATTGAATCTTCCATGGAATTGCTGTGAAGGCTAAGAAAACATAAAGCTTAATACATACACTCCCAAATCTGGGCGATTTTCCCCTTTCTTCTTCCCTCAAGTCCCTAGTTCGTGAAGAGGAGTATGGCGGCGCCTATCCGCTCCACTCCATCCCGCAACCGAAATATTCCCGCATATGCTCCCGGGATCCCGCATCGCCTTGTCCACCACCGCTCGCGCCCATCCCCCAACGGCCCAGGAAACCAGCCCACCGCACCCCCACCCAACGCGCCGCGCCGCGCCATGCCACCGTCCTACGTCAGCCCACTCGCACCGGATCGCCATTTAAACGCCGCACCTTTTGCTCCAAGCTCCGCAGTAGAGTTCTCAAAAAAAGAAAAGCTCTGCAGTTAGGCGCGCGCACACACAACACACATCATGGTGGGTACCGTTGCCAAGGACGTGACGACCGAGCCGGAGCTGCTGCTGGAGCGCAGCCGGGCGATCACCGTGCGTGGCAGCGACAAGGAGGGCCGCGCCGTCGTCAGGATCGTCGGCGAGTACTTCCCCGGTAAGATTTGGTTAGCCCATAGAGGTCTGGTCTCGGATCGGATATGTCCGCGCAAAAGGTTACTGACAGGTCTCTGTCTCTGCGCGATGCAGCGCGCGCGCTGGGCGGGCGGGCGGAGGAGGCGCTCAAGGCGCACCTGCGGAAGCGGGTGCTCCCGGAGGTCGGGGAACGGGAGTTCGTGGTCGTGTACATGCACTCCCTCGTCGACCGCGGCGACAACTTCCCCGGCCTGGGCGCCATCCGCGCAGCGTACGAGTGCCTGCCGGCCGCGGCCAAGGAGAGGCTGCGCGCCGTCTACTTCGTGCACCCCGGCATCCAGGCCCGGCTCTTCTTCGCAACCTTCGGCCGGTTCCTCTTCAGCTCCGGGTATGTGTGGCGCGGCTGATCGGCCGTGACCCGATTCGGAGTTTGGCACTGGTGCTGTCCGCTGAAATTAAATCTTGGACTTGCAGGTTGTACGAGAAGCTGAGGTACATGAGCAGGCTCGAATACCTGTGGGCGCACATAGACAAGGGGGAGCTGGAGGTCCCGGAGTGTGCGCGCCGGCACGACGACGAGCTGGAGCGCCGCCCGCTCATGGACTACGGAATCGAGGCGGCCGACCGCTGTTCCGTGTTCGACGCCGCGTCCATGGACACACCGGCGTCCCTGCGCTCGCTGCGTTGCTCCTAGCGGGCACCGTGTGATCGGCCGTCCGGTTGTAGTTTAGCAGGCCTCTTGATGTTTGTTTGTAATCTGTAGTACAAATTAGTAGTACTAGTGTAAATAATAAGAAATATATATAATAAAGTGACCGATAATTCAAAACCGGCTCGGTTATTCCGCTATTGCGTTGTACACCTAAAACACGATATCATGTCTGTGGGTGCTGAAACCGTAGAACCACTGACTGAAGTGAAATTATCAAGAGACGTTAGAGGTTAGAGCCAACAGGAAACTGGAAAACATATTATGCTTTTACCAAACGGACCGAGAGAAGGTTTCTCCCCAAGCGAAAGAGAGTTTGTTCTTTGAAAATGAACTTGTACAGAAACAAGACAGAAGATGTAAAAGGTTGGTATCACCATGGTAAGCTGGTCACATAGTAACATCTGAACCTAATTGTGCCCAAAGACAGAGAGTAGAGCAATAGGCTATCCCATCCAGCATCTTCCGTGTTCTCTTATCTGTGTTTGACCGTTATCAGCAGCAGGATAAGTCTAACAGAATGTGCCCTGCATACCAGAAATTGGGGTCAGGACACCATTGTTGGGAATTGGGAACCAGTAGCGGAGTTGAACTACTATAGGGAAATACGACAAAGTGAGCAAATGTATGTACTCCCTCTCTAAACTAATATAAGACCCCTTTTAGATCACTAAGGCAGGGGGAGTACCAACAGATCATGTGGCACAGGTGTACATGGCTATCAACATAATAAGTTAAATATGTATGTATAATACTCCCTCCGTCTCAAAATAAGTGACTCAACTTTGTATTAGCTTTAGTACAAAATTAGTACAAAGTCGAGTCACTTATTTTGGGACGAGTGAGTACTTCAAAGTGAGCAAATTGCACATTTGTCGAGTAACAGTAAACACAGAAATTATCCGAGCAATGGGTATGAGTCTGAATCAATTTGGAGCTTGCCAGGACGAATGCACATAATATGATAACAAAAGGAAAATGTTAATACTGTAATGTAACCTGAAAAGAATTAAAGACTAGAAACAACATATTTCAGGTCTAAGCCATACAATATATAGAACCTATTGTACTGCACGCTGGATTCAATGAAGTATTTTCCAGGGGGCATAATTCGTCTCAAAACTGTCTCAGAGTGTTACATAGATCATATCAATCAACTTAAAAATATCTAATCTGAGAAAGCGTATCTCCGCTGTAACAGATCTTGCCTTAAGATAACACTGAAGCAGATAACTAGGCTTCCGACCATTTTGATGCCAGCACTTCATAGGACAAAAGCAGCAACCCTTTCTCTCGAGTCTTTATTCCAAGCAATGTTTCAACTCTCCAGGTGAACAGGACAATCAGAAATATCCATCGGTCTTGCATGTTAATTGCAAGAAGTTACTCGCTTATATTATTACTTGGCATTTGTGCTTCTTCCATATTCTCAACTTCAGCCCCAACCTTTGCCTCAGATCCAGCAGTCTCCACGTAGCGGAAATCTGGATAGTTCCTGCTGTTCAATGAGTGCAACCAGAGTGCTACAGCTCCCTCCTTGTGTTCCATTGCAGCAATATGAGGGAAGATGTACTTGATCTTAAACTCTTCAGCCTCCTCAGCATAGGGTTCAATTGAAACTGCCTCATGTGTATCCATCCATTTTGAGTTATACGAGGTAAACATGCATTCATCGAGGTGCAGTCCAACCTCAGGTGCGGTAGGCACATTAAGTCTGATATCCCTGCAAGAAGAATATGACACAAACAATAAATCAGTAAGCAACACAAACTGACTAGATTGTGTTATATGTGTTAAGCTGATAAGAAGTTAAGGACTTTACTTGCGAAAGGCAACATCATAGATTGACTCAGGTGCACAGTTCCTCATCACTGCTACAGCAAGGCCAACCATCTTCCGGATCTGGTGAAGCATGAAACTCTGCCCGACAACCTCACATCTGACAAAATCAATCCCATCCAGGCTAACAACACTATTGGCAGTGAAGGAAATGATGTACCTCTTGGCTGCAGGATCCTCAGCCTTAGTTCTTGTGGTGAAGTTGTGGAAATTGCGGGTTCCAACATAATGCTTGAGGATCCTATTGAACTTCTCTTTAATTTCATCAGTGTAAGTAAATGTGTTTTTCAGCAGGGGACTTTCGTCTCCATTTTCCTTCTGAATATTTGTAGCTTGCATTCTCTCCTTTTCACTATCTGCAGGCACAAAATTATTCTCCTTCTCAGCTACAACTGATGCAACGACATCGACTGAACCTACAGTTGAATCAGAACAGATGGTCTCGCTGGCGCTGGCTGGCACAGCTTCAGAATGGCAAGCACCAACTGCAGGTTCAATATCACATTTTCCTGCCCCATTTGATCCCAGTTCAGCATTTTGAGCTTTTGTTCCATTACCAGAGCTCGGTATAGCGATCCCATCACCTCCCAGCCCAGTCTCACTATCGCAAGCCTCAGTAACAGAGCTTGCTGGAACAGATTTTGCATCCCCCAATTCTCCATGAACGGCCACAGTTTCCTCTCCGGGCGTATCAAGAACCTTCTCCTCCTCAGAGTCGGGCAACTTACCCTCCCGGCCCATAATATCTGGCACCTTCCTCCCCCTCTCGGAGCACTCCACGCACTTCGCAAGTTGGTTCTCACTCCCCGCGCTTGCCTTGACAGCCTCGCGGTCGGGGTGTGCGCTGGGGTCGAGCGCCAAGACGGGGAGCAGGTACACATACCTCCGGCGGTCGCAGAACTTCTTAGCGCTGAAGGAGTTGGTGACGCGCACGTAGCCAAAGGCCCGGATCTGTGGCGCAAGCTTCGCATTCAGGCGGTCAATGAATCCCGGCGGGTCGACGTAGAAGCGTCCGGAGACAACTTGCGCAGCGGCGCTCACGCCCTTATCGGTGCGCGCTGCGCGTGCCCACTCGTATCGGCCGGGCGCGGCACGGTCGGCTTCGGGGACGGCGCCCGCCTGGTACAGCGCCTCCTCGAGATCGCCCTCGATGGTGCGCGCCCCCGGATTCTTCTGCATACCCTGATACCCCGCGCCGCAGTAGGCCAGGATGATGGCCACCTTGCGGCGCTTGTAGCGGCGGCGAGGCTGCTCGGGATCGGCGCCGGCGGCAGACAGCGAGGTGGGCTCCGGCTCGGGGTCGGAGGAGGAGGACATCTTGGGGCGCTTTGGATGGGGCGGGGAGGGCGGCGGCGAGGCGGCGGCCATGGGAGAGCGGGGTTTTACTTTTTAGAAAGATTAGGGTTTGGGTGCGGATCGGCAAAAGAGAGGAGGGGGCACGGAATCGAATGAAACAGAGCTTACAAAGAAACGGGAGGTTATTTTCTTCGCAAGGGAGAAATCCAAGAAATGTAAATGATAAGTACAGTAATTATTTACAATCTTTCAATTTACAAAACAGCCGTCGGATTCATCTATTCGATTCTTGCCGGGCAAGCGCCTCCTCTCTAAAAAGAATCTACTCTATTCAATTCTTTCCTACTATTATTGCTAGCAAAAATGTCCATTTATTAAACAATAAAATAATATACAAAACCAATGATTGTGTTGAACGCCTCTGACGAGTCCTGATAGGGTAATGCGCGAGACTGGAACTACAAAAGAGGATCACACATGAACTGTTTACCCATTTTTGTTGTTTGGACCCTAATCATGAAGGTAAAACCTTACACCTGCTTGGATTTGATTGATGTATATCTCGCCTTGTATGAGAGAGGCTACATTGGATGCTGAGACGGATCTATCAAGACTAAGATGAAAATTGTTGGGTATCTCGACCATCCCCTAGGTCTCATATTATAAAGGGGGGCGAGACCTAGGTTTACAAAGCTCGCTAAACGACACAATGTCCTAATCGGACGAGGAGTCCCCAACTTACACCTCAAGATGGTGGTCTTCTAGAAGGCGGGCTTCATGCGGGGCGAGGAGGGCAGGATATGCCTTAGTCTGTTGGGCCCTGAGACCAGCCTGGCGACTAGCTTCCAGGCTAACGTGTCCCGCGGTACTATGCACCGTCAGTGGCCAAGAGTTTGTTTGTTTCTGTGTTGCGTGAGACGAAAACCTGACGGGCTCCTTTTTCTTCCTTGCTAGGGACACAGATAAATCAGCTTTGTTTTTGTCTGGCTTCCCGAGCAGCTTTGTGGATAGATAAGACCAATTTAGCTCAAGTTCAACTTCTTAATCAAACTAAATACATTCTGATTTGCGAGCATTTACAATTTCGTTGTTGACATAGATGATGGTCGGAATGATTGTGATGTGAACATGCCCTGAAGCGTCATGGGTGACAGGGCGTCATCCTTGTGGTTAGGCTTGACCGTCAAACCCAGTGAGATATGGTGTATCTACCTGGATCAAGGTGACTAGCCCTACACGGGGATTGAGGCATCATGGGGATACGTGATAGCCATATCCCATCACTGTTGTCATCAATACAGGAAAACAGTCAACTATTGCCGATTCAGTTTCCTTTTGGCTATGATGATGTCTTGATCCTCGTGCCCGTTGTGCATAGTAGACGACTCTATCGATAGAGCAGGCTTGTGTCACCATGCTCAGACCACCTCTTAGGTGCCCCGAGCGGCTATAAAAGGGGACCACAGCCAACGCGATGTCATTCCTCATTCCATTGCTTGCTTCCCATCTTATTCTTATCGTCCTATTCTTCCTCACAAGCCTTCTCTCACCATTACCAAGGATCCTGCAAGGTATCCTTTTGCTTCGTCTCCCCTTCTTATTTTGCGACTTAGCCAGATCTTCTTAAAGGCTGTGGCGAGGGAGGTCGTGGGGCAACGGGGTGATGACCTGCAAGTGCACAGGGTTATGTAGCAATTTCATGATAAGTAAGGTTTGTCGATCCCACGGGGATCGAATAGGATGGCACCACAATCCCCACAACTGCGTTGTCACTCAACACAACTACGCTCACATCCAAACTAGAGTTTGGAAATGATTCACCTAAGTAGGTTGCTAAGAACAGTAAAAGG